CTGATTAAACAATGACCAACACAAAGGCGGGGCTCTCTCCGTCCAATAACTGGCCTCAAATGGGCTGTGTGGAGGTCAAAGTTAAAATTTTTCATCGAAAAATGCGACGCCCGGTCGAAAAATGCGACGGCGGTCGAAAAATGCGACGCCGGCTGAAAAATGCGACGCCGGCTGAAAAATGCGACGCCCGTCGAAAACTGCGACGCCGGCTGAAAAATGCGACGCCGGCTGAAAAATGCGACGCCGTCGAAATATGCAACGCCGGCTGAAAAATGCGACGCCGGATGGCACATATGGAACACCATACGATTCAGCCCAGGGTCTTCCGGAGATCATGTCACCCTAGGACAGGGTGTATGTACATACAGTTATTAGGCCCAACCAGTATTTATGGCGTGGTACTGTCATAAATCGCATTAACAGATGCCTCAAAATTATTTTGAGAAATCTTTGAACGCGTTAACCGTTTTCACGTTGGCCCAAAATCATGATTTATTTTCTAATTTCTGTTTTTGGGGGCTAAATTAAATAAGCTATGCGATGCCTACAACTTGGTGTACTCATTTTTCCAAAATCTATGGAAATCTGCCAAATTACGATGATCTAATTTAAGTTAAACGGCAATTTGTGTTTTTACGAAGAGGCAAATTTTTCTTCCATAGATATAGCCTCAGCAATAAAGGGCAAATTTATGGGCAAACTCGTTTCTCCGTTTCCATGAAGAGACGACTTTTACTCTAGAAATGTACACAAAATATAATTTTGCACCTGGCACGCGCTGTTGCAAAGTATCCTGCGTTTTCACGAATAGACAAAAGTCGCATGAATCTAATTTGTTTGTTTACAAAATAAACAATTTAATTGACTTTTATAAATATTGTTTGGCGGTTTTTTGTCATTTAAGATCCCCTCTTTCACGCAGTAGCATTACTTAAGTCAAAAGCATGCTAAATACTGGGGATGTAAGCGTTTGAAATAGAGACCAACTCCAAATGCGATTTTCTCGAAAAATCTTTTCTAGTGATATAAAAAACTCGTCCCTTCATGAAAAGACCGACGATTTACTGAGGAAATTACAAAATAAGTACTGAGGCACCTTTGGAATCATATCTGTAAGTGTCAAGAGAGACTATCTGACATTCAATTTAAGACACATGTGTATCTCGATATGGATATAGAATTAGGCCTATATGTACCTGCATGGAAAAGACCCTATTAAACATACATGTACAGGCATATTAAAGTGGATTTTGAGGTACATTATTTTGAGACACCAGCCTTGGAAATGGTTATAAATCAAAGTGATTTTTCGCAAACCTTTTGAGTCATCTTAAAATCATTTAAGGAGTAAACTAATGATACATGTACCTCAAAAGAGTAATCACAGAGAGTAAAATAAAATTGGTCTACATTTTTAGCGGTGTAATATCTGGGGAAAAAAGTCGTGATATACCGCACCAGTGGTATATTGTGATTCTTTCATGCTTTAAATTGTGCATGAGTATTCATCCACGCATTGAACCTAATTCCATCTAGATGGAATTACATGTAGGTACAAAAGGACAACGTCAAAAGCCTTTCTCTCATTTCCCAGCCCTTCTTTTTTCAACAAACCTTTAAGTTGTGGGCCATAAAAACTCTCTGCAGAGAGTTTTTGGTCAGTGTAAGCAATACTGGCTCACTAGAATTGTCTCGTTCTGTATTATAAAAATATTGATCCTGTATGTTTTCCTTTGAAGCCAGATGCCAGAAACCAGAAAATATTATAATGTATATGAACATTGACATGACACTGCGAAATTAATGTCAGCCCTTCAAGTTGTCTTTGAATAATGTGACATCAGAAACAAAAAAAATGGTATGGAGACACGTCTTATTTTTCACATCCACGGATGCCAGAACAGGCTTAAACATCATGACGCATCACGTTTTTCTATACATGTAACTACGCTTTCCCAAGAGGACTCGAATCTAGTCCCACTTAATCGCCATAGGAAACAAAACGTAAACAAAACGCGTAAACAAAACATGATATCATTTTGTCATAGGTTTATGAAAGCCCGTGCTCTCGAATGTTTGTGCTTGTGTCACTACTGTCAAGGTGCGTAGTTAATAGACAGGTCCCTCTCAAAAATCGCAATTGAACGAACGATAATTGATATAGTAGTTGAAGTTATGTAGTGTTTTTATGCGCCCTGCGATGGATTGCATGCAGAGCTTTTGAATCAACAGACCTCTGAAATGATGACGCCATACTCTGTTTACTTGTGTCCTTTCCTGTGGTGTTCAGTGGATCTCCCCCCCCCGACTCCACGGGAAAGTGCAGATGGAAGTAAAATGTGACGTCATCAGTAAAGAGGCCTATAAGTCCGATCTTACCTCAAGTGGCAACCTTATTGAACCGTGACAGAAAAAGCATTCCTCTGCTACTGGTTCATCTTGGCCATTGTTCACCCACCGTTACTTGTGACCATTTAAAGGTGGCTTAATCACAATGCTGAACTTCACAACCATTGTATCTTGGTTTTGGAGCAGGGGAAACATTTCATTTTTAATACCCCCCCAAGAAAAAAATCAACCACAAACTCTAGCCAGAAGAAAAAAAGGAAACTGCACTGGTCCAAATTTTGTTCATTTGCTGAATTTTTAAGGGAGTTTCTGGTAATAGCTGTGAAGTGTTGGCGCTTCAGTTCCTTTGTAATAACGAGGAAATGCACCTTTGCCCTTCTCTGTGCGCCAGTTAGGCTCCTGGAATAAATGATACCTGTTTATATTTGTATTACCAATTGTTTTGCTCGGAACTAATTCACTCATAATTCTCCCTGCAGATACAGACATGGATGATGGTTCTCGAAATCTCGAAATCGACTTTGGCCCCCATGGTAGCCGACTTTGTCTGTCGACCGGAATCTCCGCAATCCCAAACTAGTTTAGTGTAACCCATTCGAGTGTAGAGGCACAGATGGAGAGCGTTTCCAAGACGACAGGCCCTACCAGTATGTCAGACAGTAAGCCATGCCACAAACCGGCGATCTTGTCCCCCCGCGCAGGTCCCGGGGAAGTAGTAACTTTTCCCGGGGTCTGGGGTAGTGACTGCCGGGCCGAAAACGACCACATCTCGCCAGACCTTAAGGAGGTTGACGCCATCGAGAGGTCATCGTGGTGTTCCGGACCAATGGGGTCGAAGAACCTCAGTGAGCAGTTGCTGATCGAGCAGGACCAATTGGAGAGTGACGATGACGCCCGCGGGCAAAGTGTGTCATCCTCTCTTAGCTCGCCTGAACTGGAGGTAGAGCAAGGGATGCATATTAAGCGTGGTCCTGGACCGTCCATAGTGGCTATGGAAGCTGGATGTGACACTCTGCCTCTTGGTAGTCGCCAGAAGGTGGCCATCTTGAATCCAAACTCGTCGCAAGAGAGAAGGAAGCACCTGCAGAGACGGGACGGGTTACCAGACTCAAGAAGTAAGAATCACACAGTTGCATAAATCCCTTGAAATAATAGTTAGTGCACAGTCCATGAACTGCCATTGTACATGAGAATTTTTTCGTGTCAAGCCTTTTAATTGTGGTGTCCTGCTCCAGAAGTTTGTTGTCAATGTTTTGAGGGGTTTTTTCAAAGTCAAATTTTCTGTGTGGGGCATGGGTAATTGTAACTTTTACATACATTGTTGACGGTAACTACAAAACCCCTCATTCCGTAAGATGCAATCAGTGTTGCAGAGTTGGAATGAAACTTCAAAAGTGGCGAACTGTTAAATGTTTACCAAATACCGAAGGGCAACAGGTGTGAAATTCCTTTATGAGATGGGAATGGCCTAAATAACACTTAATTGCCATTTGTTTCTGGTCGAAATTTTTACTGTAGGTGTTAGTCCATACTCATCAGACTCCCTGTCCTCGTCAAGTCTCTCTGATCGCTCGTCTTCTACTGTAAGTAACTTGTAAGGAAGACCGCAAAAAGAATACTGTCGTTTTATACACCAACTAAAGGTCAGGAAATCTTGTCCACCTGTTAGGTAATCTTCATTGTAGACTGTCATTGCTTACATATTTTCACTATTTGTATTTATCCGTCTCAGACACCCAAGGATACGTACTCAAATGAGACTAACGAGACGTCATCCAGCAGCGTAGAGACTGGCAGCGACAAAGACAAGACGTCACCTTGGTCCATGGCCAACTTTGACCGCGTGCTCCATGATGCACCCAAACGCGAGCACATCCGGTCCAGGAAGTGTGGCAAGGGTAGCAGCAGTCAGTCCGATTCAGGATCCAGCTCCCAGCTGTCCAGGGGCAAATCAGCCAAAGCTCTGTCCATCATGCGGAACAAGTTGCTCGGCAGAGCTACGGCCGAACCGACCGTCACCGACTCGGGAGCCTCCATCAGCAGTGGCTCAGTGACCATGGTCCACGCCCACCAAGAGAAGAAAGCCTACGAATTGAAAACACAGAACTTCACGTCGAATGGTACCGACACTGGCATAGCCACGGCCAACACGAGCGGCCAGTCCGTGCAATCTCAGAGCAACTGTAGCTTGTCGTCATCATCGGGGGTGGACACGCGGCATCAAGTTGCACACAAAGAGAAGAAGAACTTGCCGGCCAAATCAGTGAGTTCGCACTATCACGAGATCAGAAATTCCAACAAAAGTGAAGAACTGAGCGAGGAAGGCTCCAACTCGCCTCACCAGCACCACTTTCCTCATCGTCAGAAGGTGCCACAGAGTTACTCAAGTGACTCCGCCAGCACCGACGAGTCGGAGCGGAAGCGACGCCGCTTCAACCGCACATTTGTACTGCTTCGTCACTGTGGACTCCTGGAGCTCACCTTGCAGACGGCCTCCCTGATGCAGCAGAGTAGTCTCATGAACCAACAGCTGAAGTCTCTGCGTCAACAGACGGAAGTTCTCTACAATGCCATCCACACAATGTCTGTCAGCCAACCGCCCGCGTCCTCGTTTGACTCAGTTGCCGCCCAGGGGATTCTAAAGAACTTGCGGGAAGTTTTGAACCGACAAGACGGCATGTCCTACCACAGTCCATCCAACATAAACCTCCAGCACTCCCGAAGAATGGGTGTCAAACGTACGAGCTCAGGCGAAACAATCAGCCCGGATAGTGGTAACGCGCAGTCGTCAAGCGTGGTCCAGAACAGTGGCAGTTCTACGTGAATCTTCCATCCACTTGTACTTTGGTTGACACCGTCAGCCATGCTGTCTGTCCGAAATAACATCTGCTTTTCGCTCAAAGTGAAAGGTTTTGATGCCGAGACAATTTATTTTCATCTGAAATCTGTGATTCAGACGTGACTCTGTCAGTGGTGACTTACACCGTCAACGTTTATCGTTTTTATTCCCTTTGCTTTTATGATTGCCAAAACTTCTCTAGATAGTTATCACTAACATCATTTTGTGGTCTTTAGGAAAAAAACACGTTGCCTCGCCAAATTCCTCATTCTGAGGAGAAGTAGGGTAGCTAACTACATGTACATGTACTCATTTTCTAAAAATCATCAAGTTATTGTTAGGGTCATTATGATAAATCACGAAACGCTGTGGAGCTTTTAATGATTGGTCTCTTCGTACCACCATCTACACTCGGCTTGTGTGTTTTGGCTCATTATATGTAACGTACAGTGTAACAAATCTCGCACTTAAGTTCTATTAGATCTTGCATATGGCCACCTGAGAGGCCCAAAGCTCTTCTAATTGTAGACGTTGATAACCGACCTCTTGTTTCCACAGGTTTTTTTCACTTCCAATGATTTGTTATTTCACTTATTGTACTTTTTTGATCAAAAATTTCTTCGTGATGGCAGCTTTGTTCGATATCGCGATGTACAAAAATATTTATTTATACAATGGAATATAATTTTTTATGTAAATTGTGTTTTGATATTGTGCGTGATAAGATCGTTTCTCCAAAACGCTGTTGGTTTTGTTTTGTTTGTTTGTTGTTGGATTTTTTTGTTTTGTTTTGCGCAATAAAGTGTACTATACCTTACAAAGGTAGAACTTCCATGATCGAAGAATGTTTCAGATGGAAGTTTGTTCCCATTGACGAAAAAACGGAATAACTTCACGTATGCAGTTTATTGCCTACTGAGCCGCTGTGCGTGAGATTTGTCGGGACGCATGATCATCATGATTGTAAAACGGCTGGTTAATAATTAATCGTATTTAAATGCTTGACCAGTTACCGTTACACTTCCAATATTGAAATGATTTGGCCAATAGGTCTCTAAAGATAAAGTTTTCAGTTGCATTGAATTAATGTAGAGGGAAGGTGTACAAATCGCACGCTCATTGCATGTACATGTATATGTATTTGCAGCAGGGGCGCATGTAATAAAGAGATATTCAGCATATTCAACCAACACTGAAGTGATTTTCCAACTGTATTCATTATGTGCATATGTTTGTGGTAACGAATTTGGACGTGATGTGAAGCAGGACGGAAAAGTGCTGACAGCCCCTGGAAAACACGCAGAAAAGTGTACAGGGGCTCCAGATGTCATGGAAATTGTTGAGAACAGAAGTCCTGAAAGTAAGAGGTCACGCAGCGTGGTCTGCCTAACTGCCTATGGGGATTTTACATGGGGTTGTCCTATCATGTACGATAAGTTTTGGAAGAACGATTCCTAACTGAAACCACTCCATGAAAAACTCATGTTGGAAATTAACCTTTGTTTTCCTCTAGCAATATTTAGGAAAAATCACCTGGAGATTGGTAAAAAACGAATTTCATTAACGACCTTGCACTTTCGGCGGTATCGTACCTAGGTCTCCATGTTCATGTACGATTGCTTTCACTCCCCGTGTGAACCTGAAAACGAGATTGAACAACGTTGCGAAGATTTACCTACCTGTAGTTGATGGTTTCAGATTCCGTTGAGTTACCATGACGTAGTTCTTGTCATCAAAGGTTAGATAAATATTGGCATCTTTCGTAAAAGTAGATTACTACATGTACTTTTTTTATTACCTTATAAATTAAAAAAGCTGTACTGTATTTTGACTTAAACCGACAGACCACCATAAAATTTCAAACCGTAAATGTTCATCTGAGTACGAGACAGCCGCATTGTCCTGTTCTTCATGTATCTTAGATTTTGGGGAATGAAGGTCAAGTTTTGGCAGGATATTTCTCTTTTAGGTGAGGTAATTTGTCAGTTTCTATAAATAATATACATGTATTTGCAAATATTTTCCAAAGTCCTTTTTTTCGAGTTGGATTTGTTACGAAGTAAATGAGCGAAAAAATATTATAAATTCCAAAATTTGTGCACGTTATTTTCCCTGTCCAAGGGTCCCGGAAGCACGCCATCACAGGTCAACATTCTGGCTCTATTTTGTGATGAATGAGATTAGTTTACACGATCTGTCGGTGCTTAAATGCCACATTTTAGGCAGCGTTGTTTCAGCGTCTGCCATCGCCAGGTTCATGGACGTCAGTAGCCCAGGTTGCCCTCTGACTTTAACTTTCCATTTAAATAGAAACTTATAACGGCAAACCGAAGAAACCCGGCATAACTGATTTGTGGCAAGTCTTATATGGCTTGACGTTTGGAAAATAGAATTCTCCACGGACCACCACTGGACGCAAGTTTACTACACCACTGGATAATTAAGTATTCACTGTTCGTTTCACAGTACCTTTCCAACAGGTTCTGCTTGACTTAAGCGATAAGTGATTACATGTACAAATTAGTTACCAGCACTGTTCTAAACTACCCCTTCAAAATGTTTGCGTTTGCACAATGTTGGTGGTTATGCATACCCAATGCCATGTTCCTGGCTCTCGGTCAATCAACATAGAGAATCAGTTGGTGAGAGAGAGGGTGTATTTTTTAAGTATCATCAACAGTCATTAGCACAGATGGGAACTCAACAGACGTATTTGCAACCCCGTTCTCGTGTTTGACAAACACAAGAGCGGGGTTTCAAATGACGAGAACACTGTTTGCGAACAGGATTCTCACTCCCTACTGAAGTGGGGGAGAACGTCAGGAACAAAGATGGCGGACATAGGCACATACCGCAACTTAACGTAAATTTTGTTGCATAAAATAGGAAGCACTCACGACAAGGAAACTATAACCAAAGGCATATACATGCATATCCCTTGACCATGTTATACGGATATTTGGGGATTTCATTTATTGTAAGATCGTGAATATCATGTCATCTTTTCATTTAGTGTTAAAATGGCGACTGCTATCTTGAATTTTAGCGTAGCCGCAGTCCATTCGAACTACGGCGTTCGTAATCAACAGCCCCAGGAGAACGGGGTTTCGAATCGCTCAACGCATCCCCATGCGTCTTTTGCTCGGGCTGCCAGCACATGCGTCCAGTGATTATGGGTGCACCCTTGTATTTAGGCCACATATATGTCCGCCGAGCTCATTAATAAAAGTTATACACTCAAAATATTCTCTATTAGAGGGTCCTGAGAAGCATGAAACTGGAGAATTGAAGAAATATGAGACTGAACCTCTTGGCTTCCTATTCTGAGCAATTTGGATGCAATCGGGTCCGAAAGTGGCACTATTTGAGCCATTTTGCAAAGGGATGCATTTTCAAAATGACTACTTTCCCGGGCAGTGAAATTTTCTTCGTTTCAGGGGTGGTCTGCTTTGGGTGGGAATTTCTCAAAAATTTATAGGTCAACCCACTAAAAATTTAAAGGAAAATGAAAGAGGACATGTGGAACATCATTTTTCTGTGCTGCCTGAACACCTGTGAGAGCTGTAAGTATTTTTCAAATATTTGTAAAGTATGGGGATTTATCACTGCTGTCTACGGGAATTTATTTGTAGTGGTGCACCCTGATAATGATGATGATGGCTTGCAACCTCGCTCGCATGGATACGATCTTGCCGCACCATGTTGGTTCCCACCATGCCTTGCGCGATCCAACGACAGACATGTATTTGGATCTCACCCCTGGTACTATTTTGGATATTTAAAAAAGGACGATTGTCAAGGGGTTGCACGCGGCGCACACTTGAGGCGCCTTCCCACAGGCTTATGTACGCTTTATGGTGCGTTGTGTAAGCGATTCGTTCATGCATTTCACACCAAAATCCACACCATTAACATAACACACGTCGTCAAAATCTCCCAGGGAGCAATACAAATACAGCATGGTTTGAAGGGACGTAGAGGGAATTACTGGTCCCGAGGTGTAGGTCATCAGCTTGAGTAGGCCTGCCTCCCGACACGAAGCGGAGGGAGGTAGTCAAACTGACCTACACTAAGGGACCAGTAATTCCCACTATTTTCCCGAAATAAACCATGCTGTATTTGTTTGACTACATCTCATAAATATTCAAACAGAAATCTCACGTTACTTGTACTCACAGACGCCATTGTTGTTTCTCAGCTGCTAAATTTCCATGTAACGATTGTGGAGCGCAGATGCGCAAAAACATATGCAGCAAGGTATGAGACGGAGAGAACCCCCCCCCCGCGCGCTTTGTGTTGGTCATTGTCTCGCAGGAATCTGGGGAATTCCTTTCAGACATCTTGGGGGATGTGTTGAGTAACAATACTCTGGAATGTGTATAGGGATTGGACATGTTGGGGGGGTACCCCTCGGTCTCATTTCTTGCTGGGTATACGCCAAAAAACAGGGTTTCATTAGTCTGGTGATGACATACGTTTTGGGTCTTTACTGTACAATAAAAGTTATAAGGATACAACTCCAGACTTGTTCCGTAAAGATTACATGACACAGAGTACACATTTACGCGGCGGGTTCCAGAGGGATTTGTTGATGCTACGTCTACCAGAAAGAAATTAACAATATGCGCATTTAGCTTCCACGCATGCACGCGGTTGCAAAAGACAATTATTACCTCCGCTCGAATCAAATCTTCAACCACTGATATAAATACAACACAGTAATGTTCACATTTTTTGCAATAAACAATGAAATCGATGCAGTAATAAAGCTTTGTCAATGCAGCATGATGCAACCTTGTCCCAAGTTGTTACTCTATTTCCAATCCAGAGTAGCCATGCTGCTTGACACCATGGAGATGAGGTTGTGAGGAGCGGAATTCGCACACTAGACTCGTTCCCGTTCCCTACGTAGTCTCCTGCTGAACGTAGGGCAGGGACGGGAACCAGTCTGCGTGTGTGCGCACTGTATGAGCTTGTACATGGTGCCATTTGGGGTACCGGAACAATGGAAGGTGCCCCCCACAAGGCCAGTTTTGATCCTTGTGTGGAACTAAAGTGGTACCCCACAAGAATTTCAAGAAATAAATGTTTCAAATTTACTCAAAAAGGAGGACTTTTCAGGTGCCATTCATCTTGTCGCATATTGTGATGTCTATTTTGTACTTGATGTGAACTGGAAGAGTAATAAATCATGGGATGTCAGTTTTGTGAGATGAAACAATTTTTGTTCCAATCTGCTTTAGTTTTCAATGGAATTAAAATCAGGGGCATTGGGATAGTATCAAGGTCGCTCAGAAAAAAAACAGACTTATTTCTCTAAGCTGAAAAGGATTTCATTTCTCTAAGCAATTTTGATTAAAATGCCAGTACTCTCAAACTAAAGGTTATCAAATCATGCTACTTACATAACTGCCATGCCTGTACCATCAATGATCAAGCACTTTTCACCATGTACATTTAAATTGTATGTATTTTCTTGAGCCCTGGACATGATGGAGGAACCCTCAATGCCAAAACTATTGGTAGAAAATACTTCAGATTCACAGTAGGCTTCACAGTAGGCCTACACAGTTTTGAAACTTAGTGCATTCATGGCCTTTACATGAGATTTAGTCGAAAATGAACATCGCCCTGGCGTCCAGAAATTGGGCAGATGTTGGACCAAGCGGGCCGCGAGTACCAAAGCTAGAGGCTGCCGCGCCGCAGCACCGCCGTTCGTCGACGCGTGAGCCCTCGTCAGAATACATCATAGCACCCATGCGATGCAGAATTGTCCGAAACGCAATGTCCCGCAGGACACACACAGTGTCAAAAGCAAAGAAGCTTGTACCTGCGATGACCTACCCACTGTTTTGAATATTATTATGTGGAGACATCTCAACGGTCGAGTTGTCTCGATGCCAAAGTCGAGTTGTCCTAACAGACGACTTGGCAAACGGTCGAGTTGTCCCAACGGTCGAGCTGTCTCAACGGTCGAGTTGCCCGAAGTCGAGTTGGCAACCGGTCGAGTTGTCTGACATCCCATAGGAAGTTGCTTCACATGGTTCCATGTAAACGACGATCAATGCATGCAACTTTATGGTCGAGTTCGGGCAGTCCGGTCTTGACAGGGGTTTCGTGTTCTCGCGCTCGAACGGCGGGAACACGACCCCAGAACACTGTTCTCGTAACAGAATCACACACCACCTCCTCGTCATGATTTTACACGAACACACGGTAAAACTCGTGTGATTTGATTTTTGAACAGCCGCAGAAAGTACCAATATGGCTTTACAAAGCCGAAGACAATGGACAGTTTGCAAAATTAACATTAATAATTTTCCATGACAGAAATGAATTTTTTAAATGGAAAAGAGATTAGCCCAGTTATCCAACATTAACTCTCGAAGAATGTACAAGGACACTGCCATCTTAATCTTGCATGTTGCTTGGCACAAATAACTACTAGCGCTAATAACCGGTTGTACATTCCCGGCATTCGAGCGACCGACCCACGAGCAACAAATCGAGCTGTTCGTGAAAAAAACGAGAACAAGCCGCCCGAACTCAGCCCCAGTGCATGCATTTGCAGTGGGCGTGGTTTAAACTGAAGTGACGTCACACTTACGAACCGGATAGTGCGACAATCATGACCATTGATCTCCATGTAATATACATAATTAGCGGAGATGAACGATTGAGTGCAACCTGCTTGCTTACCTTTGATAAGGGCGCCCGCGGCAAAATGGATAATTGCTCAAGAGCGAGGAGCTGGAGGAGACTAGTTTAAACACCAAACCAACGCACAAAGAACTGCACGCTTGCACGACGAACCGCACGCTTGCGGCAGCTAGTCTTGGTTTCAAGACGTTAGTGCTTGAAAGTGGACACCGTGAATAGTGCGCCCCCAAACGAATCATAATTAGACTGTGCACCAGCTCGCACTAACGTCTTTGGAATGATGCAGCAGCGTTTGAACTTGTTCTTTATTCCCCCCCCCCGGTTTTTCAAGGGAACCAATCAGCACTCGCCAAATTGCATGCATAATAAATTTCGAAGACCTCAATAATACACCATAATACGCCATGCACCATGGCTGTCTGCAGTCCCGTGAACCATGCGTCAACACAGACACGACCACACAGACGTTCGTGCATAGTTAGCACGGAGTAGAACGGGTGATACTCAGACTACGTTAGGCCTAGCCTGAGGTTATGACAGAGGATGCTGTTCTTGGTGACCATAACATTGTACAGTCAGTATGCCCTCTCCAGCTAACTAAATCGTCCTTAGAGACCATTTGTAGTACCCGGACTGCAAGTTGGTTGTCGTTTTCTTTCTGCACGTGTAGGTTTATAAGCCGCTTGTGTGAGTAATTTGACCTCAGGCAGCATGCTCATTGTGAGTTACAAAAAAACCCAGAAAGTATTTCTTGTGCAGTGTCAGAAAACGATTTGTTTTCCAAGTTTTTCTGCCACAGATATCGCAAACATTATGCGATACGGCACAACTATAGTCCCCGACGATATGTTTTAGAAGAGTGGCAATTTCATGTCCATGGAGTGGAAATATGTCTTCCATGTCACTAATCCCTTCCCACAAACCAGACACTATCGACAGGGTACTTGCTCCACGACGTATTTAAAAACAAATCTGGACTGGCAATGCCCTTAATTAGCTTATAGAGATCTTTGAATCCACTAGCGGCCATTTTACCGAGCCGAATACAAACTTGAAGCTTGCCCGGCAATGCCCACCTTTGCTCTCCCTGGCGTCACTAGATAGAAGCGAGCCAACCCGCACATTTGTATTCGGCTCGGTAAAATGTCCCCTCGTTGGCTTTTATTTCATACAAAGGCGTTGCAAATCCATTTTTTATATACGTCCGTGACTTGCTACGTGAAGCCGCCATGTTGTTCGAACATCGAAGTACATGTACATAATTACAATACCAAGGTTATAAATATTTAAGAAGATCGGTCATTTGCATACAACTGCTGCACCCCCATTCCTGCAAGATTCCCAAAACGTTAGTGAGAGTGGGTAAAAACTACATGTGAGAAGGCGCTCTTCAACAGAAATAAAATAACTATCGATCACTGACGTCTTGGGCCAAGACTAGCGGCGGCTCGCACACGCTCAGTTCGGCTACATGCACATGCACGTGCCGTTCGCCGTATAGTCTTTCTTCGTGCGTTGAGCGACTGTCCATTTCGCAGCGGGCGCCTTGATCAAAGGCTACCTGCCTGCTTGTACCCAGCCTGCAAACAACTCACCACTTGGTGGCGCTGTCCACGATTCAATAAGAGAAGCAAATACATTGAGTAAAACATTCCAGTTTCTTTCCCTGTACTAGGCCTACTAGTCCTAACGTATGTTTGGGTTTACCCAGTGGATGTCATATATAAATCCAGTGCTGCGGATCTCCCTTGAATCAGTTTAGACGTCTTGCTGAGGGACTGAGAGTCGGGTATTTTTACGTTGGTTTGAAAATTTCTCTCACGTCTTTTTTTTTTTTTTTGTCACTGACAATGTCATCATTTCATGGATGTCTACGTCGGCCGTACTAGTACTCCGCTGCACAGGGCCGATTTTTTCCTGTCAATGCTCAAAGGCGTCATTCCTTGATCATGTAAATTCACTGCACAGGGCCTATTTTTTACACTCATTGCACGAAGGTGCTCTTTTCGAGATCACTTCGTTATAACCACACAAATTTGACACCGCGACACAATGAAACTACTCAAAATGCTCAGACAGCTGTCTACAGCTCAGAAACACATAAGAGAGACCAACCTGATTGGTCCAAATCCATGTACATGTAGGACCTTGTTTCCTCAAAGTCACACGGAGAATCACAGAGTTAGTGACTTCGAGTTCTCGAAGTACCTACAGCGTTGGCATTAGACCGGTAAAATAGTTCCAGGCATTTTGTTGCTGGCAATAAATACATCATGGATTTGAACCAGTCAGAAAGGACTACTGGAAGAATACCTTTACATAATATTTGCCGTTGCCGATTTAATATCCACTGCCTTCATTCTATAATAAATCTCAAGAGTTTGTGCAGGCGAGATATATGTACCTACATTCAGTCCTACTATAGATAGAGTTTCACATTTTTTCCGATGGAAGTCAAGTCTGAATTGATTGTCAGGGCAATTCAGTTGCTGTCACGTGACAACATTCATGAAAATGCTTAAAACTAATGTTCTTCGTCTGACATGTCACGGCCAGCGTATATGTGTCCCGTAAGTACATGTACTTGCCATGCTTTACTTGCAGCTCAAATCATGCACGAGAACAGACCCAACACTAGACCTGGGCCCAATTTCACAAAACTGTTTAATGCTTAGCAGAAAAGTTGCGTTTACTACGTGGCATAAAAATTTGCTAACCTTAAACGCTATTTCATGGCAGTGGTTGTTCTTATGATTGCGCACACATAGAGATTTCCATTGTTTTGTCACTATGTTAAGCAAATTTTCCCTTCAGGGTGCATGCCTTTTGCTGTACATGTACTTACCACTTATGGTCTCCCTGAAATACGCAGAGCCTCTGTTAGTGGAAACTTGTGTGCTTAGCAGCGCCGGGAAACTGGGCCCTGACGCTTATATTAAATTTGTTGCAGTTGATGTCAGTCTCTTTAATTAATATAGAGCATCATGTCGATGTTGTGCGGAGCATGAAGGAATAAAACATGCTTGGGCTGACTTCGATTGATTGTTTATACATGTATGTCCGTGCAGAGGTATGTGGTGTACATAATAGGGCCTTTTATTATTACAAAGGCTCAATCTGCAACCTCACTCAGTGGTACATACATATTGTAGGCAGCAACCCTATTCAAGCTATTTGGAAATTGTTTAGCAGTGTTGTCATGATTACCCAAAATGTGACTTTTCTATCTTATTTTCCTCTTTTTACCATTGTACAAGGCATACATGTAATATTCTGACGGTAGGGTGGTCCAAACATCTGCATGACGTGCACACCAAACAGACTGATGAAAAATCCATTTCTGCGAGCTGTGAACTGACCACTGACAACGTGTCTTCCATTATTTCATGCCCAATATTTCCCTTCCTTTTCCAGATGGCAGCTTGTCATTGCATGTTTGCTGGGGCTCTTCAGGCCTGAGAGGCACAGCTTAACATGGGATCCAGCCTGGCCAAAGCCCTGCAGGAGCTGCTTGCCAAACCCGTCGATGTCCAGACACTGAGCATAGCCATTTTTATCTTAGGTACATGAAAACCTCTGATGCGTCAGTATGGTCGCACAATGTGTCTTTACCCGCCCAATCCCTACAAAATCTTGCCCTCTGCAGGCAAAACGTTCAGACCACAGAGTCAGCACGCACTTCACAAGTGATCCACTTGTGAGTTTGTTTTGCCTCTGAACCCCTACCACAGTCTTACTGTACATGTAAGTGTCGAAAAACTAAAGGCAAACAGTGACACATATACCTGTAGATACTCTGTGCATCATGTCTGCTCTGTTGGACCCTTCAGCTGAATCTCTGTACACTGCAGCACGTGTGATCTTTCAAACTCCTTCATCAGTGAAGTAAGAGTTGTGAGACTATGGTACACATTTCAACAGCAGACCTGTATTGATGCACTCACAGTGTGGCAGTACTTAGTCTTGCCTTTGCTAGGAGAAGAGCCCAGGCCCTCATACCCCAGCAAGAGGATAATTTTTTGGTTAGGACAGTCAGGACTGAGTTGTGGGGACAGCAATTGTTCCCATAAACAATTTGGTGCCAACGTCCATATCTGAACACTTGTGGTGTTCTTACTATGGAACAAGTATCGGTGTGCAGTGTGTAGTTTGTAAACAAACTTGAATTGATCTGATCTTTGCTTGTAAAACAGCATAAAGTATTGTCGTAATCAGAGTGCAGCCCTGGTCAGTCAACGCCGCCTTCACTCATAGTCCTGTCATTCCACCTCTTCCATGTCAGGCTTGGTTGTCTTCACGGTGCTATGTCTGCTGTTCAGTCTGCTGCATGTGTCTCACAAACCACCGCTACAAAGCAAGAAGAAGAGAAGAAGATCACTGGGTCCCTATGTCAACCATGTCCCCTCGGTCTCAACCACACAAGGCGCAAGAAACAGAGTAAGCAGCTGTACAGACTCCATACGGGATGTGTAGACTGAGATTTGTTTAGCACTCAGTAGGGCCAGTGAAGCTTATCTTTGTTGAAGTACGAAATTTCAGCAAAAAAACTATTACTAGTGAAATTGTGTAACATTGGTGCATGGTGGCAGTGGTACCTGCCGTTTTACAGTGTCAACAGTATGCACTTTATACAGTTGAGGATATGGACACCGTTGTGACGCACAGAGGCCAAACCTACACACAGTGTACTTACATACATGTTCGCCCCAGGCACTCAACACGTAATGTCTTTATTCCAACTTGATTGTATGTTTACATCTGTGCCTGCACCCCATGTAGAGTACCGAAATGAATAAGTCACCCGCACAATTAGTGTGTAAAAGGCTTTAGCGTGAGAACCAGTGTGTGAACCAAGACGGGCGCGTACTCCATTCGGTTGCACTGCACTTTCTGGTTCACAGTGACGTCACACTTCGGTACTCTATGCTGTAATGTCTCAGAAATTGGGACTCATACTCAGATGCAGTTTTCTGGATGCATTGTAGGCATGTCCACATTAAAGCAAACTTGCTACCGACTTGATCAAGTTGGTGACAAGCACAATGAGATGTGACTTTTAAGGTACATGTATGTACTGACTATGTGACACATCATGGCATCGTGTGACAGGGAGCTTTCAGCACAGTTTCTCAGTAGAGGTAAAACTGACACACTAGCCAGGTCTAGACCTGTACCTAGAGAAAATTGCAAGCTTGTATGCATAAAAGTCACATCTCATTGTGCTTGTCACCATCTTGATCAAGTTAGTGACAAGCACAATGATAGTACTGCTTACACATGTATTTACAAATCCTAGTTTGTACTTTGTCACCTAACTTTTTCAAGACCTTACAGGTTTTTTTAAACATTGCACTCGTGATAAAGCATTACAAGCCAACATAATCGATGTTCGTCACAAATGACATTTTAGCATGCACACATGATTGGAGGCTTTTGAAATGATTGGTGGTGGCAAGCATAGTGGTCTTTTGTGTTGTTGGCATCACATTTGAGCAAATGAAGGCATGCTGAAAGTAACACAAACAGTACTGGAACAGTCACATTTGCCACCAACAAAACATCTCAGAAGTCTCCCCTTCGATGTACATTCAAAGAGATTGCCTGCACATTCCAGGTTTGTTTTTGTTTCCGTCCTCGAAGGTGCATGGGAAGAACAAGAAGACGGCCAACGAGAATCATTCCTCTAGTCAGCAAGTAACTGTGAGCTGCAGGGAAGTGCCTCGATACCAACTGAATGCGTTATGTGTTAGCTGTGGCAGGGTACAGTCCAAGAAAGCGTGCAGGTACAAATCAGGCTTGGAGGAAACTGGTGGAAAATTGATGCAGTCAGTTGATTCGAACGGAAGAATCTTGCACTGTGTTTGTCTCGCCCAGGTTCACAGTAAACTGAATGTTAATAGTTGTCTGCGACTGAGAAGACCCATTGTAAGATTTTCCGTTTCATTTCTTTGAAAAGGTTAGGGATTCTATAATCCTACATTTTTCTGGTTTTTTTGGCAAAGTTTCACCAAACATTTCTTGAGTGTATTTTAAAACATTTACCAAGCGAAGTCTCGGTAATGGTCGTCTTATTACAAAGATTTAGTCATCAATTTTCTCCCCATAGACCACTCTATGCCGGATGACGTGTGAACACACATAATTTTTCCTTATTGTTCCACGGAGGACATGTGCACTCGTTTAAGAATCTTTTTTTTTTTCATTTCTGCCGTAATTGTAATAACACCTCATGCTTAGTTGGGTCAAAGTGCAATTACAAGGTTGAACAATTTGCGGGGAAAAAACCCTCCCTAGGCAGTTTTTTTTCAGGTAAGAAAATCCGACATTATCTGGCTATACACATATCAATCAATTGTTGTAATGTCAAAGGACACTGACAAACAGAACAGCAAGATGCTCAGTGAATGGCTTCAGCAAGTTTATTCTTGCATTTGTCTCCTATATCCATTTCATTACCTGACAACGTCTGATCCTACATACATGTACATGTATGGAACCCCCATTGTAAGACTAAGATGTGGCCAGATGTGTTCTATGTTGTGTTTTATACACCATGAACAACGCGGATACGGGGAATTAGTGAAAAGCATTGTTTGCATGATATTTAATGCCCACATAAAATGACATATGCCCACATAAAATGATCATAGACTGCCCCCAATTCCTGCCAGTCGGGCTAAGTAGTGTTCCTTTACTTGCATTGCACTTTGCACATTTATTTTTCTTCATGTATTTAGTTGACTGTGTTGGCTTTTTTAAACATAAAATCCAAGCACATGATCACCGGATGCTAAGGAAGGCCCTGGTTGTGGAAGAATTGCTTTTCCTAGTGTTGTTCAGTGAAAGAAATGGCCCATTCAGCCAAGTGAAAACAACACAAAAAGTTTGTCATCTCGGCAGTTTGGTGTGAAGGTTTTTGTAAGAGAAGGCAGATTTTCTTTCTCGATGGCTGTTAGAATTAATGACTCTTTCATCTGCTAAACAAGAAAAAGCTAAAATACATTGCAAAATCAACCAAAAAGGGACAAATGGGCCAGGACGAGAAACTCCTCTTGTTTTTTCGCTTGGCCTTATTTTTAAAGCACAATGCTTCAGACATTTGGTCCCATGAAAGAGTTTGCTTTGAACCTCTACTGTGTATTTTAATTATTCTTGTCCAATCGGCAAGGCCTTCTCAAGAATCCCTTAATCCAGCCATGATCACCTGACACTCTGTGGTCAAGCGAACTCTGTTTCCCCTCTCTGGCAGATACTCCCGCTGTGGCGAATGTTGCCGGGCCAACAAGGCCTCAATCTGCACAGCACATGGGACAGGAGGCTCAGCCGCTCTCGGCATTGTGGAGGGTGCCCTGGATGACAGACCGCAAGAATTAGACCTCAGGTAATAATGCCAGATACAGCTGCTGGATTAGCTAATGGTTTGCCGTGTTTTTACACAAGGGCTTGTGGCACTGCATGAGAGTGCATTTCAAATGAAGCGTTCAGTGTTTAACAAAAGGAATTTCTAGCAGAGAAGTTCATTGAATCCCGATGGACATTGGCAAGTGTGACTCCTCATTTAAGCATCTTGTTGGAATTGATTGCAATCCTCAAAGTGCCAAGGGCCGTTGAAGTTGAAAACAATGACAAGTTGAAAACAATGACAATGCTGTGAATATCTGCAGCATCTGTGGTAGAACAGCAGGTTGAAAGTGTTAACAATTTTGGCAGGTCCGTTGAATTTATGCGTAGATATCTTTGTGACAGCTACCAAAATAATTACCTGCACTTATTAATGACCAAGGATTAAACGCACTTCATTAAGCTGTGGCACTGCTGGGGTTAGCTACTTGTTTATATGTTTAAAATCCCTTACATTGTACATTATTCACCCCCCCCCCCCAAAATGGTCTAGTATTTTGAACAAAAGTAGTTCACCTTATGTTGTGTTATCTATGAAACATTGACGGTTGGAATTTCTCAAGTAATTCAGCATCGGCAAATATGTCTTGTTGTGTTCAGCTACATGAACCTGAAGCAGTGTCCATCACGCATTGGCTACGTCGGTACTCAGCTGGTCTGCCTGAATCTCATCAACAACCGATTGACGGAGTTGCCAGAGGAAATCGGTCTCCTCAGAGGGCTGGAAGAACTCTTCCTGCAGTACAACTGCCTCAAAGAACTACCAGTAAGGATTGTCAGGAACAACATGCAAACTAACCTTGAAGATCTCCTTAGATGTTTTAGAGTGATGACAAATACGCAAAACATGTTATCAATTTTCATTAGCTTTAACGTGGGCATGTTTGCAGGAGAAGCAATCAGGCTATACTTTGTATGTTTTTGCTTAGAAAAACATTTAATAATATTTAAGTTTTGACAAGATGACAGTGTACTGTCTTGATGGTTCATCTGAAGTTTTTTGCCCCGTTTACACACTTTGGAAATCCCTGCAAATTAAAGGGATATTTCCTTGAAAGTGCCAACATACATGTGAATGTACTTGACTTCATGAAAACTTACAGAACTGGCAAATGACACTCAAAATGTCTGATTTAATTGCATTGCTTAAAGTTCAAGCCAGACACCTGTTCATCCTTCAGAAATCCTGAACCATGTCATCAGCTTTTCTCTTTGCACGTGCTGGTCACTGGATGTGGGTCACTTGTGTGCAAGTAATTGAAGAATCATTAAAAGTTACATTATTTTGGCCTGTGAGAAAGCAGTGTTATAAATACTTGAAACAAAGGACCTTTTTGAAAAAGTTTAGCCTTACCTTTGATGAGTCTTTGTCTGGTGTCCAAATTTAGGATTCCATCGGACAGTTTCACAAGCTGCAAGAGCTAGACTGTAAGAATAACCACCTGTGCAAGCTGCCTGGCAGCTTGGGGAACCTCAGTTTGCTGTCCATTTTCAATGCTACCAACAATCTGCTGCAGTCACTGCCCAGCGAGATAGGGAACCTGACCCGGCTGGAGGAACTCTGTCTACAGTAAGTTCTGCCTGGTGATCCTTCCAGATCCTTCGAAATCCACCCAGGGGTTGTGAAAGAGATTTTCAAGGATTGAGCTGGGAGTCTGAGTCTTTCAGAAGAAAGAGAAAGATATTTTGACTTGCACCTAAGATGAATGCAGGACTACATTACTCAGGACGTTATTTGTGTAGCCATCCTGACTTTTGTAGTTCTCTCAGTTTGCGGATGGTATTTGGGTCAGTCTGTAAATTTAGGATCCATTTGGAGGGGGACAGGGTGTCCCAGTCACACCTGACATGATTTTTAAAATTCAGAACACATTATTTAATTCCTGAGAGTTATTAAGTTGTGTATATTACTCGCCAAACAAAAAGTGTTTCAATTCAGTTTGAGTGATTTTACATGTCAAATTGTACCGGTCAGGTGCAGCAGGGACACATAAATGTCATACTTGTGGATCCCAAATTTGTAGAAGACTTATTTGCTTGAATAGTCTTCTTGAAGCTTGGGGAACAATCTGAATTTGTCTGTTTTTAACAGTTGGGTTTTTATGTTAAGTTTCAAAATAACACATTAATGTCAGTGTGGTGTGAATCAAGATAATAGTGTGATATGTAGGCACGAAACTGCTTCGTTTTAAACTTCCATCCAAACTGTGGAAAATCGCTTAAACATGGCTCGTTTTCTTGTTTTGCAGTTCCAATCAGCTAACTAAACTACCTGACACAATATGCAATCTTGTGAACCTAACGGTAAGAATCTTGCAGTTGATTTAACTCTTGTGCACTGTGCTTATTCATGTTTCTTTTAACAAGGTGGCATCTCACACCTGTTCCACTAATTGTTTTATTTTAAATCCACTTAACACTGGCAAACATGTAAATCTTGTAATTTATTACATTAAGCATGGGCCTTACAGGCTAAACCATCAAGCTTTCCCGAGTCAGTTGTGGTGTCCATCACAAGTCCTTTCCCAAATCCTGTCACAAGTCTTTCATAAGACCAGCCATGAACAGTGGCAAGGCAGTGCTTTTGTCACAAGAGCTTATGACCTGACTGGAGACTGGACCAATCTTGCAGGGGTGAGATTTGTCAAGATCTTTTTTTCTGATTTCAGGATTTTTTCATCAGAACCTTCCTAATTTCGAAATTTTTCAAACAACGTTTTTTAAAATATGGAAAAGTTTGAGTTTATGTATCAAGTGTTTTTATGTATAAAAGTAGGCAAAGAAAATAAGAAATGAGTATTTTAAGGCGTTCATTGAGGAAAGCACAAATGTATCCCAGAGACTTTACCATGCTGATAATCATTTGGTGGATAGTTAATTGTTTCTCAAATCTCACCCCTGATCTTGTTGGATTTGTGATGGACTCACAGGGACTTCATTTGGATTTGACCACTCCATATGCACTGCTCTGAGTCTAGCCGACACATGTACAGTTTACATGTCTTACAAGTCAGAGATTCACATTGTTAATGTACTCAGACACAACGTCTGGTGAGACTTCGAAGGTAGACCGTTGTACAAGGTCTTGCTGATTGTACACATCTGGTCATTGCAGCAAATATCACTCCATGGCATGGCCTTTTGAGTGTGGAGAAAGGCTGAGTTTGGGTGAGAAATGTTGTGCACTTTTGTACAAATCACTCTCAAACTCAGAATTTTTGGCATTCGGTTTGATGTTGCAAAAGGTCGCTGATATGTCATGGTTTTTAGAAAACGTTCTGTTTTTTTTGGTACTGTTCTCAACAGCATTAAGATACAATAAAATGAAGAGTTTATTTCCAAAACAACATAAGCGCCATTTTGGTCCTCTGAATTTCACCTTCTCATGGGTTTTACTTAGTAAAAGAAAACAACTCAATGAGTCAGAACAGTGAAAACTAACGTTTAGGGACACCTGGTACACTCTTTTTGTTCTTAAATTTTCAATAATTGTGGAAATATTACTCAATATTTGAATGGTGTATAGACTGATTCGATTAGACGCCCTAACTGCGCTGGCACCGTTCTCACACGCACATTCTTCAGCTTGATGCGCGCGTGCATTTGGCAAATCACGACACCCTGTTGGCATGTACCGGGCGCGTACCACCTGTCCACAAGCGCTGTGCCACTGAAGTAATGGCTTCTAATTCAGGTGGTCGAATTACACTGTAACTCATTTTAGAATGAAACCCTTCAAATGCTTATTACTTAAATCTCTGTGTACTTCTTTCTATCATAATTTAGGCCTTGTATTTGGGAGAGAACAGACTGACAAAATTACCAGCTGGGCTGGGCAAGTTGATTATGCTGACAGAGTTAGACCTTTCTTCCTGTGAACTAACTGAACTGCCAGATTCCCTGTCAAGGTGCACTTCACTCATCAAAGTTTGGCTCTCTAACAACAAGTAAGTTCCCTGTGCAAGATCGCCAAACATCTGTTTTTGCCGGGTAACTTTTATCAGATTCAGTACAGTGGGGCACCTCTGTCTGCTCAGGCCGCGAAGAAGAGATGGCGTTGTGTGACCATTCATAAAGATCTTTGCACTCACTGCATAGGTTTGCATGTACAGGGCACTGATGACACATCACCAGCTTCCATGTGCGTACAAACCCATAACATTTGTGCATGAGTGTTATGCAGCAGTAGCATTCAAATGCCTGCCGTAACTCAATCTAACAAACTAACAAACAACAATTCCCCTTGCAATACTAGTCACCAGAGCTACAGAATCCATAAACTTGTTTAAAATAAGAGAATCAAAAATATGATTCATTGAGTTTATCCTAGCCTACAGGTTTAATAGTGCTCTTCATTGTCAAAGTGTGCCATATCACTTGTTGCGATGGATTACTTTTGCATTAACCCTAACACTCCTCAGTCCTTCACCTGTTGGAGGACTGAGGACTGTTAGGGTTAAGGTTGAGGAGAAAGTTTCTGGTATTGGCTTTATGCACAAATCCCTCCCCCCTCACAGTGGAAAGAATTCCAAATTCTTAAATGAGGATACACACTTCTGATTCAGCCATTTTGTCTTTCTTGCCTTTGACTAATAATACATGTGTAAGTAGAATAATATGAAGTAATTATTCTTGCCTCTTCAACTAAACGGCACTCTGATGGGTTCAAGTTTGGGACATCTGCACTTCTTCTGTAATACTGTACATCGCATGGATATTTAAGTGCTGTTCGTACACAAGGATGTACTGTGGGAATGGTGAATTGGTTCACCTTGGTTCCAAATTTTCTCTTTATATGCTCTTATGAGCAAGCCAAACAGCAGCTTTTAGGTGTGACATTTGTTTTTCATTTGTTCATTTTATCTCTTTTCCCCCCTACTTTTTTTTTCAAGACAAGACAGCACTTTTGCACACTAATCACCTTGACTCTTCTGCCCTAGGCTGCAAACATTGCCAGACCAGTTGGGTAGACTGCACCAGCTCAAAGAACTTCACGTCAGGAATAACTGCATCCGCTATTTCCCTGCCTCTCTGTCGTATCTACAGCTCTACACCTTCAGTGGTGAGTGTGCCATTCAAACTCAGCCTTAATCTTAGGGCTGCTAAGTAACATGTAGAGTTGTAGCCACACTGTAGTATTTTCTGATGTTTTCTTTGTTTTGTTTACTGATCGGCTTTTCCCGATACCTTATTGCTCTTCTGAAGAACTTTCATTGGTTCTCATAGTACTCGTGATCGGAAAGGATACCTCCACCCATTCAAACTCTCTTCAATCCTGAGCACATTTTAAGTATATGCCATGGCAAATCACCCTCTGGTATCTAAACCCAACAGCCAATCAGAATCCACTGCTTTATGAATGGGACGAACCGGTCAGGGCCAAGCTGACCGTTAGTCCAGACACTGATGTGCCCCCGTTGCTAGAGCTCGCAGCCAGACAAGTTGCCCGATGCAATGTTGCTTGGAATGACGGGGACTTACCATCAGAACTGGCAGGTAAGTTTCGATCTAGATATAGTTGACTCTTGTTATTACGAAATCGGCAGGACCACGTAGAAATGTTCATTGTAGGCGAAATACATGCACGTATATGCATGTACATGTACATGTATGTGCATACATGTTAATGCATGGTTGATGTTATATCAAAAAGATCTCTCAGTTATAATTAAATATATTGTGATGTGTTTAGAAAAATAAAATTCACTGTCATATGAAACTCTCTCAAATGTGCATGTGAGATTAAAAAAAGCAAATACATGTACATGTGAAAGCATCGATCCAAGGGTTTTTAAAAGGCTTTCGATCGCCATGGATGACGACGAAGCTAAACAGCATGCACATGGTAGGCTTGTGTGTACCTGCAAGAATATGAAGACTCATCCACTGAAGCCCCCATCCATGAAGTAGTCTTTCCAACACAAATTGTGTCATGGAGAGACATTTTTATTTAATTTTCTGCCTGTCTTATGATTTTGGACAATAGCTGCATGACACGATTGATCGATAGTCTGAGGTCACTCGCCCACTGTGGCGCAGCCGCCCGCTTGCTGAAGGAGCATTTCATGAAGGAGCACAGTCTCATTGGCTGGTACGCTAGATCTTTTTGCAGCAATATGAATAATTCAGTGTTAGGCGATTAGTTGGGCTCATGAGATGTGAGAGTAGTCAAGCGAACTTATTTGGCTGAATTTTTATGGGAATTGGGAAGGGAATTTTTGTTTTGATGTTTGTGTAATCAATGTAAAAATCATTAAGTTTTTTAATCATGCTTTACGCTTGTCATGATTACAGGAAACAGACAAATGATATCTGTGCAGTGTATCGTAATGTAAGCGAGCGTGACATATTTGGAGGGGCGGGTGATTAGCCTCGTGCTGCGGTTGGATATTTTGTGGAAACACACTCATTTCGAGTATGAGCAATAAATCTTCAAATCTAATACACGAACACAAAAACACAAACATAGAGATCAATTTTTGTGAATGAACCAACAGAAAATTTGTGATGGCAGTGTTTTTTTGACTTGCAATTGTACAGCTGCATTCGTATATGATGTACATGTAGTGGAACGTCCACGACCCATTTTGGCAGGAACTGTACATTGACTGGGTTGCCTTTTTTATCATGCCTTCTTTGGCAGCGGTTCAGCCCGGCAGGAACCAGAGTGATGCACTGCGCACGTGTTTTCACCACCGCAATTCACAAATGTTCGTTATAAATGGGTCGTCAGCAATGGTTTTTCAGGCAATGGAGTCACGAAAACCATTCGTTTTAACAGGAATTTTGTACAGTGCGATTTCCCTGAAAAACATTTTTCCCAATAAACATGTGCACGTTTTTGCTGGGACCACAGACTTGTGTTTGTTATAACCTGAATTTGTTATAGCCAATTTTGTTATAAAGAGAGTCAACTGTACATACATGTACATAGTCATCTTTATGCTGTTGTATGTGTAGCTGAACTTGCATGGGCGTCGCCTAGATATTTTCAGGGAGGGGGTGCACTCATCAGGAGCCAAGTGACAGACCATTAAGAGGGGAAGGGTGTTTTTAAATATATTGGTGGTTTTCATTTCCAATACTCTTTGTTCTTTTTGTTTTTTTCTTTTTTCCCCCTGGGAGGAGGAGTTCCCTATTGCTCCCCTCCCATGTGCCCATTTGTACATGGCATGTCTGTAAATGCGAGTCAGTAGGCGTGTTTCTATCAAATCAGGTAACTAGTGGCGTTCCACAGGTTCCACAGTGGTAGTTTTCTTGCCCGTCACTTCTGCAGCCCAGGTTCCAATCCAGCCCAGGCCAATATGTGGATTGGCATCTCAGTCCCCACCTGATCCCATGAGTTTCCCTGGAATGTTTGGGCTTTTCCTCCTACCTTACTGAGCATTTCTTCTCCCACTGCCCCTGTGGAGAATAATTTACACTCGCTAAATAAAGAATAAACAAAATAGACTCAATCTGAAATGCTCTTATAGGATATGGCCAGTTTTTGTACTACATAGTATTGGTGTAAGATTACAGTGTTCTTGACGTTCACGCTGTATACACTCTGACCCCTTGATGAAAAGCAGTCAGATTGACTCATGACTTTTCTAGTTATCACCAGGCCTCCTCAAAAGTAGTTTGTGTTCTCTCCACAGACCTCCTGAGGAGTCGTAAGCAGTGTTCCAGCTGTGAGGGGCCGTTCTTCCGATACTACCAATCCGAAGTTGTCTTTGCCAACATCGGTATCTTCCACCGGGTGCCTCTCTACCAGCAGATCTGTAGTCCATTCAACAACATGCACTGCCAACCTGTGGACCTGACATGATGGCCAGCCACACCATTCGCCCCGTGATTTACAAAAGTCGTGTGCAATATGTAATTTTCATCGGTCGCATTCTTCATCTTTACCGTTTATGCCATGGGCCTGTGTGCTTCAGATCTTGCTGGTTTGGCCAAAAGATCACAGAGGAGGTCATGCGGTCATTTGGTTCATCTGTTTTGGGCTTGACAGACATTTTCTCCAAAATTCTATAAGTCGTGTAGTGTTTTAGGTTAGAAAGCCTGTGGTACCAATTTATGCTAAGCTTCTCTGGGTATCTTTCCATTATAATAATAAAAGCATATCAGAAGGAAGGACGTCCATCGTTGTTCAGTCCTTTGTGCTTCACAGAAAGGTACATGTATCACCATATTTGTACACAGAAAATAAATTAAGATCATCAGCAATAGAATACTGGGAATTGATACTCAGAAATTAGGCACGTTTGAGTTTTTAAGGCCACAGTTGTCATTTGTAAAGAAAGCGGAATATGATTGTGTTAGCTTGTTGAGAGTTTTTCAAAGCCTTTTAAGTGGTTTTTCAATTCATTGAAACCTCTGTGTATTTTGCCATTTAGCTTAAATCTAAACGGACTGTTTCTTTCAATATTTGAAGTATTTAAATGCTGTTTTAAAATTTATCTGTAATGAACATTCTCACAGAAATTGCCAAAAAAGTAACATTTGTTTTGATTTGAATGTACATGTAAGTGTGCAAATGTTGTGGGCAATTTAATGCAATGTGCTTTTCATTTTATATTAGTCGTGAAATAAGTTTAAAAAGGAAGGATTGAATGCAAGTCATAAACTAATGTTAGACTCAGATAATGCAGACAGAAGGACATGGACACCATTTACCGATGTTTTCTTGTACTTAAGCCCTAAAAGAGCCGGGGACGGGGATGGGCGTTGTCCCCCCCTCCCGACATATTCTCCAATATCATTGTAATGCACTGTTATGTGGCGAACCTTTTTCCAATAACATCTAACAACCATTTTGATATCAGTTTCATGACAATTGGACACACCATTCCTGGCAAAGGCTCAGTTTTCTGACACAGGTGTGCCCAAAATGTTACCGAGTTTTGCCCATTGACGCGTGCTGAATGCATGCAGGCCAACACACATGAGGGTCTGAACTGTAAATTACCTTATATATATTAAATGAAATGAATCTTCACAGATGTACCCGCGATGAATGTCTTTGCATGCATGCAAATTTTCAGTGATAGGACAACCAAGAACTGGGGGAGAGCTGTTAGATGGTTCGGACAGATAGGCAAATAGCCGAGTATAATCTGTATGTGGACGATTTGAAGAAGGTGGTGTCCAGAAGGGGAACAGTCTCCAACTCTCCCTCTACTCGTTTCAGTTCTTTCATTCATATTTATGCATCACATGTGGTTAATGTTTTTTGCCCAAAAAGACCTTTAATGCAAAGACAGAGAAAGAGTAAGAAAAGATATTGTTAGATCTTTTGCCACTGAATGTCAACCCTAAATGACACTGATGATCTGACTTACTATTGTTTGGTACATTTTTGCAACCATGCACACCAAATTCTCAAAAAGTGGCCAAAATTGCCTAATTACTTCTGTGACTATTAAGGAGAACGTTTTGGATAGACCGTCACCTTAATTACATTTACACAAGGGATCTAAAAAATCTTTTATAGCTGCTTTCTTTGCTCCACAGATAAAGCTGCAATAGTTTGATTTGTAACTTTTGTTGACTTTTGTTAATTTCAAACAGAGCAAGGAAATAACTTTTTCTCTGAATAAAAACAATGTACAATACGTGTGGAGATTCATAACTTAGATTTTAGAGGAAAGTAAGTTCGGAATGCTCCATACTTTTTATCCTCAAATCTACCGAAAAGATTCGAACAAATATCTGGAAGTAATGCTGGATACTGTACATTTACTCTTTGCATCTTCATTTATGTGATTTTACTATCAAAATTTGCTATCAAATTGAAATCAGCAACTCTGTGGTACAAGGAAGTGCACATTCATTATCAGTTAGTCATTGCTTTTGTGAGTATGGCAGACACAGTTGATTCGGGAAATTCTTCTATTTTCTTGAATATGCCAGCGTCAAATAGTGCCCTCCTACTGTATCAGTCATACATCAAACAGGCTAATACTCCTTATTCTGGATTTTATCTATAGCACTGTTCAAAACAATGTTTCTTCAATTAAGTTACAAATGAAAGACGGTGAGTGCAATTAATACCCAGTACTAGAATTGTCACTGGAGTAAAATGTTTTGTTGTTCACATGGCTGTCTAAAGTTTTTACCCTAATCGAAATGCTGTCAGTATATACAGATATTATGCAATCATTTGAAATAAATGATAGACGTTATTTGCTTGAAATCCTGTCTCCCCCTCAAATTGATTACAGTCCATTGGCCTCATGGAAGGGTGGTGAAAGTGGGGTGTTTAGTACCCTCTCCCCCAGAAAAAAAAGGAAAAGGGGGGAAAAGATAAACTGATGTAAAGTTAAATATACCAGAGATTCATGAATGTCACAAGAGTTTTCTGATAATGTGGAAACTCGATCTGTGTATGCACATATACAGAAATACACTATTTGCCCACTTTCACTGACTTGCAAAAGGGACCAGGCACTTGCCCTCCCCCCAATTGTACAAATTTTAAAAAAAGATGGGAAAAGCAAAATAGACTAAATAGAGAGCAGTTTTTTAAATTGCATCCGATATGCTCAAAAATACCTTAGAATTAGTTAGGCCTATCCAGCCGGCCTGCGAACGTTTGCTGCTCATAGACAGTCTTGTCAACCAGCTTATTATTCACGATCAAGTGTCATGACTAATGATTGATATGAGAATTTTTCCATGTACATGTACTTTGTCAGTTTGCAACTTTCAGACAAAGTCAATTGATAGGCCTGCTTTTGTTACTTTGTTAACGATTGTGGCTAGCATTAAAAATTTTGCTAAAATACGAATTTTTAGTTTTAAGGGACAGAAAAAAATTTTTGTAATAAAAAATTCAAAACATTTTTGCGCTACATTTTTGTTTAAAGAATGCCATGAACAGCTACAATTATTAAGGGGGCATCCCAAATTTTTTCTCCGATCCCTTCCGACCTCTTTTTCGGCGGCTTATGAATGTTCAGTAATATCTGAATATTCCGTACTACTAAGTACTATAGCCAAGGTCGGACTGTGGCATTTTATCATTACATCCTGGTGGATTTTTGGAAAGGTTATTTCGAAAGAAAAAAGTAAAACACAAGAACCTGTCTTGCTTTTGCCACGTCCTCTGAAAAAAAGGAACGTGCGTTGAAAAGTTACTATGTCGCCGAAACCGTGACGTTTGCGAGAGTCAAATCAGGTGGTGGTGGACGATTGCGTGCGGCGAGCCGGGGAATTCCAGTGGAAATCCCAGTATGAGCTATGCACGTGAATTTTAAAGGCTACGACCGGCTGCGACAAATATCTATGGGGAAATGTAACAGCCGCTAACTAGTGGCTCTTCCGTTGGTGCACGTGCCATCTCCGGCCGTAGCCAAGTATTATTCGGACGCGGTCCATGTCTGGTGCCCAAAACGTACATTAAAGGTTTCCTAGTCCCCGGAAATCGATTCTAGATGTTTCGATATTTCTGATAACTGCAGTTTCGCGAGTACAAATAGCACATTGCCAGTTTAAAACGGTGTTTTGCGCACTGGTACTCAAGGCTTGCTGTTTCATTTGTTTACCCCCCTTCTCTTGTCTGATCGTCTCTTTTTGCAATCTGTGATGTATGGTTCTTTCTCTCTTATTTTATTCTCAATACAACTTCATCTTTTTTTACTTGCCCACAGTGGCATAAGGGGGGGGGGCATGCCCCCAAGCAAATGCTGTGTTCCAGGTTCCCCCTCCCCATTTGAAATCCATAAACCACCTCTGCTACAGCTCATTGTTTTTGGTGCCTCCTTGAAAAAACGGGATGCGCCCCCAGGTACCCCCTAGACTTAATAGCCCTAGTCACGCCACTGCTTGCACACACTTTTCTCTTCAACCAAAATTGTTTCAAGATGTTTTTTTCACAAGTCACAATTCTTTTTGTCCAAGAACAAGGCAAATTGCGAGATGTATGATTTAAGTGATCCAGACGTGGCCTTGGGCAGACAAGCCTGAAGTAGATTATTTTTAAGAAAGCGCTGGCGTAAGTTGACAGACCTAATCGGTTCGTCCATGCCTTGGTTCGATCATGGAGGTAGAAGTTCGAGTATACTTTTCTGAGTTGCATTAGTAACAAGTGATAATGTGCAAGTCCAAGCCAAGTCACAAGTCCGACATATTTTTCAAGTCCAGGTCAAGTCAAAATCAAAAACTGAGAATTACAAGTCAAATCACGGTTCACAAAAATCTCCCCCGCCGACTCGACTCGGACTTCAGTAAACTCGCCGACTCTACCGTCGTTTCAACGGGTTCGGGGCTAGACTCTCCGACCCAAAGTATAAAAAGAATCGATCATTCTTTATTTTGCACTGAACTTGAGTCGACGCTCGACGGCTCACATGGAAGTACAGATAGGGGGCGCTTTTTTGCCGAAACTGCCTTACGTGTGACGCTGCACTTCCCACCCGGTACCCGGTTGTTATTGCTACTCATTGCTGGGCAGAATATATCCGTGAAGACGGCTGTTTACTTTTACTTCATGCTAACCAAATGTAAGTTATTTTATTAGACCTAGTAAGTATAGTAAGTGTTGTCCAATACACAGCCTCGTGAGTTGTCATGGTTGAACCATGGAGGTAGAGTCTTCCTGGCGTTTCCAACCATGAAGTGTGATTTTACCTCCATGGTTGAACTTGCAGGTTAGGCCGATAGCTCCATGACCGCACACAGCTTAGCTAGGCCTTTCTATTCACCTTGCATGCCTTAACATCATGATGATGTAAGTTGAAAAATAAAGGTGGGTAAGCGTATAAATTTTTCAATCTTTTTGGAAAGAGTTCCATATACGGACAACACTAATTTTCCCATAAAATGTTATAAAAACTATCAGAAAGTGATAATGTCATAAAGTGTGAAATTTAGCTGAGAAAATTCTGAAGAATTAGGCCTACTATTACGAAGACAACATTTTTTTCAGACAAGTCGCATAAGTTATAGAGAGCATGGAGCTATAGCTCCATGTAGAGAGTCATAGGTTTGTGCACAGGGGCCGGCTTTTGAGTCAACTTGTACATGTACCTTGGGCAACTCTTACCTTGGATGACTCATACCTTGGACAGTCATACCATGGGCAACTTGTACCTTGGACAACTCATACCTCGAGTGAACATGGTGAAGAACACTCGTACCTTCGTGTTCGTAATTCGGGCTTAACTTTCTTGCTCCTTCCTTTTCAGCATGTTTAAGATCAGATTTGATCAGATTTTTTGGGGGGGGAATTCAATTTATTCTTACTGCTCTGTAGAAACATTATTAGACTTTTCCATTTTGTGGGGGAATGATGGCTTTGTTTCTACTTTGGGGCAGGGGTGTACTTAAGAAAACTTGTTATGTCTTGATTTGTTTTTAAATTTTGGGGGAAGCGGTTGCCTTATTAAAACTCTTTTTTGGGGGGACAAGTTACAAATGACATTACTTTGTAAACTTTGAAGTAAATGAAAACATGACATTGCTCCATCATCACGGTGGACTGCACGGTGAAGATTCCTAAATTCATGCAGTGACGGATGGCCAGCAACTGACCAGCGTCAGTTGACTGACCGCGTGTGCACATGCACGACGTTGATGCGTCTCACAAATTCTCTGAAATTTACATCCGCAACTATGGAACTGCCCAAAAGATTGAAACAAACTCACTCCAGAAATCCTCCTTTTTTATCATCTTTGCTTGATTTTCTTGCACAAATGGCATAGCTAGAGGAAATCTTTAACACCTAACCTGTCTAATAACCTAAAAAAATGAAAAGCGATTTTTGCATGATTTTTCACGAATATCCAACTTCAGGCACCGATTACTCAAACCAAAGTTTTGGGGAACATTCCTCATTATGACATGGGAGGTCAGATATTTGAACTATGCGTAACCTAATAAAAATTGTGCAATTAAAATTGTGCAAGTTGCACAAATTTCAAATTTTGGGTTAAAAATTTTAGGGTGGAATTTTTTTTCTGTTTTTTAATTACATGGTACTTTTTGGATGCAGACGTTTGAGGTATCACTGTACTCAGTAAACCTCATAATACATGCTGCTATGTGAGTGCATTTCCCAAAGTCTAAGGCAAACGTTCCTCTCTGGGCCCGCAGCATGCTATCTGCTGCCATGACACGTGGAAGCACAACGTGCGTGACGTGATGTGCGAGCGAGCGCGATACATCCTCTGGGCCTCTGACTCCTGTTGCATTTAATATTAATGATATGTAGCTGCGTCCGAACCACTTGGCTGCAGCTTGAAATCACACACAACTCAGTGGGAGCTGGCTTTGGCCACTACCATAGACTCGTGTAATTTCTAGCCGCAGCCAAGTAATTCGGACAGGGCCATATTTTACATACAGTGAGCAGACGAAATTCACAAGGGAATAGCAGCAACGGACAACAGAGGGCTTCATGTTAATCTCTGAATGGGCCCGCGTAAAATCCATGCGTGTGGTATGCATTTGCACAGTGCTTGATCACAATCACACCGACAACTGCTATGAGACCAGTTAACACGTGAGAAAAATGTCAATTATCAAGCAAAACAAAGTTAAAAATGTAAAACAATTACAAATCTTTGTGTGTGAAAATAAGCACAAGGGTCGGCAACAGTATTTTTTTTCTTTTTTTTTTCAATAAAAAAGATTTAGGGTTGGCGCGATTTGCCAGGTTGGGACGGGTGACCGGCCCGCGCGGAAGCACAACTTTTGTTGTTTTTAGCCTTATGTGTTCCAAGGAGGACATCTACACTCATTCAGATTTAACTTATTAAAGGGTGTTTTAAATATTCTGATTTTGTGATTCATGGCTTTTAAGTTTGGGGGATGTTTTTCAAAGAGAAATAAAGTCAAACATTGCAGTACATGTACATGTAGGTCTGAAGTCCATTCTGTGAATGAATATCACATTGACAATGTATGCGTAAGCATGGAACAAACATTTGTCACTGTGAAATCTCTTTTTCTCTAAATCTCCCAATTTTAAATTGTCACTGTGCATTTCAGTTTCTGTGGCTGTAGGCCTACAGAGATGACAGAAAGCAAAAGCATGTATACAGATCATTTCACCGTCCGGTATCCACTGCCCTGAATATGTGGGTACTGTATGGCAATCTTTATGTTCGGAATATCTCTACGTACATTTTCCTTTTACTCAGTTGTCATCCACAGCTGAAGATGGCCCTAACTGAAAGAGACTTCCGAGATTTAGCCCGTAGCCTGGGACCTGAATGGGAGGGACTGGCTACAGAGCTAGACATTGACAGTTCAGAAGTTTACCGGATTAAACAGGAGCACTATGGTGTGTCCAACCAAATCTTCCAGATGTTGGTAGCTTGGCAACGCAAGCAAAGCGGGCAGGACCTACTGGCACGAGAGAGGTTGCAGAGTGCTCTGACGACGGTTAAGCGTCATGACCTGGCCGAGAGATTGCAAGGTATTGTTGAAACAGGCTATATCAAATAAAAACTGATTAGTGAACATTGTTGTATTTAAAAAGCGTAATCATGCTAATTGTACACTTGACAGATCGCTCCGTCCTCAGCCTTGACTTTGCATGCCTGGCCATTTTATTTCTGTCATACACTCAGGGTGACAGAATCATTGATCTTTGGTGACATGCACATTGTATTAATACATGAATAAGTCATGTACGTGAAGTCCTTTTTGCCTTTGGCGTCTTGGGCTTTGAAACAAATTTGCAGAGTGTATAACAAGTACAAGTGCAGTGACAGGAACTTCATAACAAAAATGGTAACGTTCAATGCATGAGGCAAGTTATGCCATGCACGGTATGCATAATTCGTACACAAGGTACCCCTGGTCCATCTGGCTTCATCAATTCTATGTCTGTTTTTTTAATTTGGTGTGAGCCAAATGAGATCACAGCATTTGCTGTCTTTCCGTTGACACACAGCACAAGCAGTCAGTGCACGAGGAGATGCGGTCGACTCGACCAGTGGAGGAGTTCACATCAATGCCAACTTCATGGATCCAGCGGGACCGTCGTGCCAACCACAGGCGCAGGCGCAACCCTCTCGCCAACAGCAGCAGCAAGAACAACAACAGCGACACCCTGCTGTCCAAACCTACACCTACGAAGCTCCCCCTGGAACAGTTCCTTACGTTGGTAGGCTGACCATCACAGGCAGGAACAGCCCAGTCATCATCGGATCAGTTTCGCACAGCACTTTCAATTTTGGGGGCGGCGGCGGTAGAAGTGGTGATAGGAGAAATTGAATTACTTAAGGTCTGAGGAATAGTTTGGATTTACATTTGAAATTGTTACGCAGTAAACTTTTCGGTAATGTTTGTAGTTTCACTAGTGATAACCCCCATCGAAAGTGGTTGGAATGTGGTCCCAATTATGCACATGAGCGAACTCTCTATCAAGTCATTGTCCAAGACTGGATTTGGATTTTATTCCCTAATGCATGTGACATGGACCTGCCAGTGCAGCTGAGCTAATTTGTCTAGAAGCTAAACCAAATCCAGTCTTGCCAAATTCAGCTGGCTGCCCAAGAAATTCATAACAGACCGTTTGTGAATTATGCTTGTGGACATTGAGTACAGCCCAGTGCATCCACCTAAGTGCCATTTTTTTGCATTTTAATTTCAATTAATGATTATTTTTTAGTACAGTGGTAAGAATAATTTCATGAGGTGACAGGTGAAATGTTCCATTCCACGAGGCTAGGCTTTGTCTCATGGAATGGAACATTTCATCTGTCACCGAATGAAGTTATTCTTACTTATGCATGAATTCATTATTTGTCTTATGCATTATCTGCGTAAATCCTCTTCTGCTAGGAAAACACGTAAGTGTTCCACTTTGTGAAACAGGTTCGTGTCTGAAGGGCTTACCGCTGGTAGTACCATGCAGTGTTAGACTGGTTTCTGTCGCTTCATTATTTTCCTCTTTCTCACTTGGAATAATATATATGAAATGGAGGTGGGAACCAATCAAGTGAAATGAAGTTCTCTTCAACAGGTACCATTGAATGGAACAAATACAGTACATGTAATCAATGATCCACCAATCCAATGATGGGGATTTGTGCAGGTATTATATACAATAGGACATTCAAATACACTCTTTGTGTCAAGAGCTGCAACTGTGCCTGCTACAGTGCCAACAGTATAAATTCAATGGGTTAGGATCAGTGGTCACCATTGGTCACTCCAAGTAATTCTTAACTGGATCATTGACCAACCAATGGGATGAGAGGGTTCATTCAGGTTTTGTGTAATACACAATGTGCACATCCTCTGATTCGCACAGAATCACTTTCTTTAGGTATGCTTCGAGTTTCCAATGATTACCCGGCAAAAGAAAACAAGCCCATTGTTAGTTATGGGAATCATTTGCAGGTTTGCTACAAGAAAATGTTTATACATCTGTTCGATTTTTCTCCTGATATGCAGATTAGATTAGCAAAGCTAAAATGGTATGAAAATTGTTTGGGACACATTCGAGGATTTGATACATTTGTGGATAGGTGTTGTTTACTGTTCTTTTGCCTGACTGCGAGAAGGTGCCGTATCAGTGCTGAGGTAGTAGAGCTGAGAAAACAAAAGACAGTTCTGGAGGGAGGGGATGCTTGTACCCCTCCCCCTCCTACCCCACCCTCCTCCCTGGGGGAAAAAAATTACCAAATACAAAAAGGGGAAAAAGAAAAGGGACAAACTCCTGGCAATGCCAGTGCATACGGTTAGTTTAGGTATTGGAGAGACTAACTGCTAAAGAGAATGAATTCCACACAAATCCTGTGGCCAGACTTTCAAGTCATTGCTTCATTGTGACTCGCCACAGTGCTCATGACACAGATTGTCTCTTCAACCAATACAAGTGTCATGACTTGCCCAACCACATGTATTTCTTGACTCTTTAGAACATGTCAACCAGACTAAAAGATGGAACTGATCTTAGTGCCACTGTATCTCGGATGAGCCTACGTCTTTGTTCTGAAACCTTTTCCAGTCAGCAGCGCCCAGGAGGGATCATGTACATATATCTTAAGGACTTCTTCACTGTAACTTCCTTAATCATGAGTGTATATTTGGGCTCCTAGCAGTACTTGGAGGTATCAGTCTGGGGAGGTTTATAGAGTCGAGCAGTGAGATACTGTTGAGAGGCATGTTTGATGGTATGGCTGAATGGTCCCTCTTACTTCTCCATGCCAGTCCCAGGGGTGGTTCGTTTCTTCAAATAGATCTCTCACACGGGATGCCATCTTTGGAGGAAAAGTACAACTATGTATGCAACACCAACAGGTGCGAGTATGTGCAGTGTGCAAATGTTCTATACTAGCGTGCATGCTGATCAAGTACATTGTATCTTTGAAATACGGTGCAGCTGATGCACGTCAGAAAAATTTGAAGTCAGTAATGCCGGCGCATGTGGCAGTCTATAAGAAGCGATATCATTTGAGAGAGACCTATTTGTGTCACAGGTGTACATTAGGAGGGAATGTATTTTACTGCGTATAATATCCCTGATAATGAATAAGTGTATCTGAAAATATTTAGATATGTTGTATCTTCAGGCAAGAAATGCAATTTTGCTGTTAGGGCTGACCAAAGTGTAATTTCTTTAGCTTCTTAAAAATTCTTTAAAAAATTATAGGTGTGTAATTTGATTGCACTGTACTCAGATATTGTGCCACTTTGGTTTTTTTTTCAATTACAAACATTTTATGAAGGTACTTTACAATATGGGCGATTCACAATACAGGGCACCACCAAGAGTTTGCTGCAGACAGGCCACTTTTCAAGTTTACGGTTGACACACTGCTGTGATTAAGTGCACTTTGTACGTAATTTTTGATTGATTAAGGCATTTTCTGCACCACTTGAAACCATCATTTTGACTACCTATATTTACTGGTAACACCCTTCACAGTAATTATAAGCAATTTAGAATTTTCAACCAAGATAAACAAACATCGGAAAAAAGTTGAAGTTTTCCACACACAGCGCAGTTAGCGAATTAGACTTTGTTTACTATCCCATAATGAACTGCAAAAAGCCTCTCCACGACAACCTGTTGGTGGCGTACTGTATTGTGTTGTAAAGATAACGTTGGGATTGATACAGAAGAACACTGATGCTTCAAAAGCTCAACGCAAGACGGTTTCTGTGTTCAGCCATGAAAGCAGCCTCTGACTACTAGTTTTGCATGGCATTGGTGTGTATTAACATGTTTTAATTTGCTCCCAAAGGGGGGCAGCTGTCATCCCATTGACGGTCTCAACCCTAACTCCCAAGGAGTGGTGTACGTATGTACAGGTGGGATGGGAGGGAGTCGCATTGCCTTTTTCTAAGGAATGTAAAGCACAAACGCATTTGAAAGGGCACTACAACTGTTGGAGGGAGTTGAGGATTCTTTTACAGATAAAAAAAAAATCGGCCAATCGCATTTAGAAAAAATTCTATTTAGCCTCCTCCCTGACCCCAAACCTAGATATGCCACAGCTGCCAAAGGGACTTTGTGAACCATCGTCAGTTTCATTTGCAATGTAGCTCAGTGGCAGCTTTGTCATATTTTAACATTCAAAGGCGTAGGCTTGCAACACAGCTTTTGTTATGGTGAGATGTGCACAGGTCTAATCCACTAGAAAATCCACTAGAAAGGTGTGGTCGATATTGAAGGAAAATAGAATGGGTTTATGGATACCTGTTACTACATTGAAAAGAATGCTTTCTTTTGTTGTGAGATCAGCCAGATGTTTGTGGTTCAAGGATTAAAGAATGTGCATTTGCAAGGCAAAGTAGCTCCTTTGGCTATTCTGTACAGGTGGGGCTCTGTAAAACCAGTTAAACTAGAAAACATTTTAGAGTAGAATAATTATCCCTGTAATTTTTTGTTTCCTTTTTAATATTTAGTGAATTAGATAAAATACGTGTACATACAGTCACTCGTGTATCATGTGTAGCATATGTTAAATTTTATTGCTCACCTTTTTTCAAATTTCATTAAGAGAGACCATAAATACATGTATCTCAAAAAGTCTGATTTTGACTGGCTGATTTTGGTACTGCCAACTGGGTGTTTACCGTGAGAAGAAATTCTGTATGCAACAAAGCATGATTTAGATGTCGTTTCTTTCGAGACTGAAATTATTTCAAGTAGGAAGTATAAAAATTGTGTGAGTGTTGGTGCTACAACTCCAATGGTGCTACCTGTGCACATACGTATAGAGACAAGTTCACTTCAAGTTGAATTTTGATCATGGTTATACATATTCGAGGCGAAGTGACAAGTTATAAGATGTGAATTCAGTTACACAGTCACCTCTTGTCACACCCAAAGGGTGGCCCCAATCATTTTGGCAAAGTAAATGGGGAGGGATATGGGGCATGCCCCTCCACTCGACAGCGTGCGATCTTTATCCCACTAGACTTATCCCACAGACATTGTAGGGTGCACCCTGGTAATTAGGCCAGAAAAAGAGGGTCCTGAGAGCCATGGAACTGAGGAATTGAAGAAATATGAGACTGGACCTCTGGGCCGGACTCAGGGCTTCCAATTCTGAGCAATTTGGATGGAATCAGGTTTGAACGTGGCACTATTTGAGCCATTTTGCTGAGGGAGGGTTTTTCAAAATGGC